AAAAAATGAAGATGCTAACTAGCAAGGCGCGAAGATGAGCAAATGCTCAGGTAGTAAAGAATAGAGACGAGAGACTTACCGAGGCAAGGCGCGAGGATGAGCAGATATCGAAACTCTGCGCGCCTTGCCTCACCTCTTATAGAGTTTGCTGAAACCCGAGGGGCCTCACGCCGTGATGACGCGTTGAGGTTTTGGCCTCAGTCTGAACTGCTAGCCTTGGCTGGCGCGTTCGGAATGAACGCTAGGGGACAGTTTCAACTACGTGAAACTGCCCCCTGTGCGCAGGTCGAGGGTTGAGACCCGACCCGCTAAGGAAGCTCGCAGAGCTGTCCTTGTGCGCGTACTGGTAGTACGCTGGCGAAGTTCGTGGAGCACGAACCTCGCGCGCGCGTTCCTAGTCGGAACGCTCATATCGGCGCACGTGAGTGCTGCGACTTCCCGACCATGATTAGACTCATGTAAACTTTTAATTTAAACACGACTAATCAGGTCGGAGTCTACGGTCCTGGGGTGTCCGAAACGTGTAGAGCCAACGCGGCCCACCGGTCAATCCGGGGGCCCGAGTATATTGAATGCATAGGCTATCGTATCGTAGGACTATGGGTAAACCAGGTACAGTAAGGCAATAGAAATGTTCATGGAGAATGCAAGGGATGTGTGACGTAGCTGTGAGGCGAGGCTCGAAACCTCCGGCCCTGTTATGGCATTATGGGCTTGTATGTGGAAAAGATAGAGCGCGAAGCGCGTGATGGGGAGGTAGAGCCGAGGAGGCAAAGCGAGCTAGTGCGCCAGTAGAGTGGAAGCGAGGAGGGCAGGATGCTTGCGAATGTAGATTTTGAAAGCCTTGGAAGACCAGCGACCTATGGCCTGGATCTGGTCAAAAGGGACACCGTCCTCTGCGAGGGCAGTAGCGCCGCCTGCACGCAGCGAATGCCCGGCGATGTTAGAGCTGAAAAGCCGTCGAATGTAAGACATGAACCAGGACCTGGTAGGAGGGGTACCGTCTGCTCGAAGCCAAAGGTGAGGCCGGAAGCGAAACATGGTGTCCCTCCAGTCAATGTAATGCATGAAAGAGACCACAGGGCATGGACCAGGTGCGACAGACTTGACCAGAATCTGGTCGCCTTCGAAGGAGGTGTCCGCTTTATGGCGCGGCAGCGTGAAGGACAGAGTGGAAGGTGTCAGAACGACAGAGCGGCGGAGAGAAAGTTTGTTGTGGTCCCGAAGTTCTTTCCTATCTGGCATAACAAGTTCGCCCGAACGCATAAGTGCGTAAAACCCCACCAGAAGCTGCGCAATAAAAAGAGCGTCGTCGAAACAAGACGCCGGGTTGAGAGTTCGGCAGGCGAATACAAGATTGGCTCTGGTCAACGGATCTTTTCGGGAAGCGGGAGTTTGGAAACGTCGAAAAGAACCTCGCATAGTTTTCGTAACCATGGGAGAGCGTCGAATGGATCGGACGTCTGGGTAGAGGGTCTCGAGTTGGTTGCAGATACCAGAAAGATATGAATTGATAGTTTTCGGGGACACAAAGGCTTGCATGTATACAATGAAGCGGGAGAGAGTCTCGGGAGATGGTTTGACAGGGAATCCGTGCTTACGACAGAAAGAAGTATAGGCATTAAGGGCGGACGAGTAAGCAAGTACAGACGAGGTGTTGAGAGCAAAACCTAGGGTGATAGCGAGCTCGTGATCTAGGTGTTCCAGCGTCCATGTAGGCCTGTCAGCGGGCTTAATGCGCGGAACCATCATAAGGCTGCTGCGAGGATATGTGGAGGTGGAGAGAAGTCTTCAAACACGATAGAAGGGATAAGCTGCCGAGCCCGAGTAAAGTCGGCGCGAGAAACGGCGTCGGCAACTGCGTTGTCTTCGGACGATAGCCACCTAACACGAAGGTCCCAATTGTTGGCTAGCAATGTGTCGACCACTGCACGGGTGATAGGATTGTATGCAGGTTTGGGAGCAAAGGAGGAAAAGAGGTGGACAGAGTTCTGGTTGTCGCAATAGATAAGAACGCGAGAGGAGTTCGGGAGAAACGCGGAAAGCAACCGAAGAGCGCACAGAACTGCAAGCGCTTCAAAAAAGAAGATTCCTTTGTTCCCAGCATCAACCGGAGCATAGAAGCCGGTCGCTAGAGCCGGAATCCAAATTCCCATTCCATCCAAGCAAGCGTCCGTGTACACCAGAAGCGCTGTTTGATAAGAGGATCGGTCCCAGTAAATGGAGCGGAAAAAGAATACGCCTGTGGCGTGTTCAAGATGGGAAAGAAGCCAACAGAGTTCGGTGACAACTGATTTGTTGATCCAGATCTTCCCAAAGGTTTGGGCTTTTCCTTTGGTTTTTTCGTATACAGCTGTTAGCCCGGGGCGAAGCAGTGGGTAAACGTTGAGTGCCCAGTTAACATAACCGGCCAGTGTCTGAAAATCGCGAAGAGTACGACGGGTGTTTTCAGACGCGAAGTCGCGGATGAACTGAACGAGGGCGTTGCGAGACTCAACTGTCATAGTGGCAGACATGGTGGCGGTATTGACCAAGAAGCCAATAATCGGGAGAGCTGTCCCGTGCAGCTGCTTCTTAGCTTCGTGGGGGATGCCAAGTTCGTCCCATAGCTGTAAGATGCAGGCTTGGCTAGAAGGAAGCCAAATTCCATATGGGATATAGAATCTGACAAATCCCGGTCGCTCAGTGCCGAAGTTATCATCGACGTAGAGGAACGAAGATCGTACGCGGCGGACGTAGATCTGGATCCATAGCACGAGGGACATGAATGCGAGCCAAAGAATTTGAGATCCGCGTCCACCGAAGCAGTTGCAACGGTCAATGTAGCGCAGGCGCCCAACAGTGACGACTTGCTTGATCTGCCAAAGGGGATGCATAGGGATGAGCCGGTATGCACCCTTGACGTCAGACTTGTAAAGGATGAGGTTTTCAAGAGGCCAGCGTTTCTTTGCGTCACGCAAGGCATACCCCAGATCTCGAATATTATCTAGGGAGGCGCCAGCGATGTCCCGCCTATCGATCAGGGAGTTTGGTGAATAATCCCCTGCACTCTGGTCGGTGACTAAACGAAGCTTGTCGGATCCGGGTTTAGGCACAGCGTGGATAGGCGAACTGTACATGCCAAGGCGCGAAGATGAGCAAATGCTCAGGTAGTAAAGAATAGAGACGAGAGACTTACCGAGGCAAGGCGCGAGGATGAGCAGATATCGAAACTCCTGCGCGCCTTGCCTCACCTCTTATAGAGTTTGCTGAAACCCGAGGGGCCTCACGCCG